GGAAAAAGAAAGAAAGCAAATGACTGGTTATAAATACTATAGTGAGTTATTCAGCCTTAAGATATTCAGCTTGTCATCATGGTTATTGAATTTCCCACAACTGGGTCATCTCTTTTTAAATAAGGATACCAAATTCCAAGGGGAGCAGTTTAGAGTTTGGGCCACAATATTTCTGCCATATATGACCCAATCTCAGTAAAGCCTGCTATTTGCATTCTTGGTTTTTATCTTTTGCTGGAGACCATAGTATTTTATTATATATTATATTTTAATTATATTATATTATATGGATAAAATAGCATGTCTCTGACTGCGCTTCTCTTACCTTTAATAAATCCCCCAATCTTTACTCCTTTTGTAAATTACAAAAAACAAACAAATGAATTTGAGCCAGCTCTCAAAATCTATGGTTTGGCTCCTAAATCCATGAATTTTCTTCCTTGGTTTTCCTTTTCAAAATTGTTTAGCTCTTCATTGACCTCTCTTCTTCCTAATAAAGTTGAAAATCAATGATCAGTTTTCAAAATACCCTTCCGGAATTTGCTTTGCAATGCAGTGTCTTTAAAAATTACTTTGGGTAACATGACATCTTAAAATATTATATTGTTTTGTCTATGACCCAGGGAATAGCTCTCCATTTATCAGATGATCTTTTATATGGCTTGATACAAATATTTAATTTTTCTTCACAAAACCTGTGTTTATTTTTTCCTGGTAAATTTATAATTGTTCTATTTGAAAGGTGTTTTATTTCCTGCTTTGTTATTGGTGGTGTACAGAGAGATTGATTTTTTCTTTTTTTTTGGTACCAGGGATCAAACTCGGGACCTTGAGCTTTCCAGGCAGGCGGAGGAACCACTGAGCTAAATCCCTGGCCCCTCTTTGTTTTTTGAGACAGGGTCTGACCGTGTAGTTCAGGCTGGCCTTGAACTCTTAGCAATCCTTCTGCCTTAGCCTCCGGAGGGCTGGAATTACAGGTGTATGCCACCATGCCCAGCTTGTTTTCTAATTAAAAAAAAAAATCTTGAAGAGCTAGTTTATGTGATTTTTGGGGGGAATGTGATTCAAGGACTAATTAAGCTTGCTTGCCTTCCTGCCTTCCTGCCTTCCTTCCTTCTTCCTTCCTCTCTTTCTTTTTCTCTTTCTTCTCTCTCTCTCTCTCTCTCTCTCTCTCTCTCTCTCTCTCTGGGATCAAATCCAGGGTCTTTCACATGCTAGGCAAGTGCTCTACCACTGAGCTACACACCCAGTTCTCCTAGTTTTCTTCTGAAATCATAATCATCTGATCAGTTAATAATGTTTTTCTCCTTTTGAAGATGCACTGACTCTTCTGATAGACTTTCTGTCATTAATTACATTCAAATATGATTTAATGTGTAGGTGGCAGTGGAGGGGTTTGGGATAAACCCAGTTCAATGTTAGTGGTTTTCTTTCTCTTACACTTGAATATGTCTACATAGTATTTTATCTAGAGACTTCACCAGCATTCATAAGGAATTTGGGTTACTAGCATCCTATCAGATGCTCTCTTGGCTGTGAGAGAGCAGCTCTTCCTCCTTCCTTCTTGGAGCAAGTTGGGTGGGATAAGAACTTACCAGTCCTGTGCTGAACTCTCCAAAATGTCACCAGGCAACTTGTTAATACAGAAAAACTAAGATCCTATGAATTCACTTCAGCCAGAGAGAATGTCATTTTTTTTTTTAGTAAACTATGCATATCATTTTATTTGTAATCCCCTGTGTTAAGGGACACTGTTAAAAGTAACAATCACTTTAAAAGCAACAACCAACAAAGCAGTATTTAATTTGGTATTTAAGATAATTAAAAATCAAACAGAAGTGTCTCTAACTAAGATAATTCATGACAAATACCATTAATTCAAGCTTACTTACTGGAAATATTTTTCAACATGGCTAACCTAAAATGTACCTATAGAGATAAAATAAGGGTGTAAATTAGCAAAGTATTAAATAAGATTTTAAGGAGTCCCTAAAATCATTTTTAAGAACTTTAGA